TTCCAAAGGATACTTGTATTAATTTTTTTGAGACTTATCAATAGTCCATGACACGTCTCTATTTTTAATATTTTTTTTTTGATGAGGGCAAGTCATGTAATTACTTCTCCCGCTCGGGTGAAGCGAGAAGGAAGAGTCTGACACAGAGTCTTACATGACATTTCACGTCTGTAGGTACTATGGCTCTCCTCTACATAAGAGGGGCTTGTTATTAATTCTACGCTTTGTAGGCAGGTTGGCCATCGCAGTTTAAAAGTTCATGTTGTTTCTTCTAATGTGAAGAAATACTTCAATAGATTTTCGACTTTAAAACAATCTACATAAATATGAAAACCTTACATTTTGGCATATCCTGTACTGTATTTGCTTCAAAACTGAATATTCCCATATTGATTAGATATTTGGAATCATACACATGGATCCACGTAGTGTATATTCAGGACAAAATCAGTCCAGAAAATACATTTCGAAGCCAAAATTCTAGTTCATGCCATTTGGAAGCTGACTATACAAAGACTTTACGCATAGACTTTCATTTTAGCACTAGATGTAGTATTTACCTCTGATGGCTAGTTTTGACCTATATTTCGATAGGTACTCGATATAGGTATTTACAATTAAACACAGAAATTAGAATTGAGCTCCATACAGAATGTTCTGAACTAGTACTAACACAAAATCTACCGAAAAATGACTTATTGAGAATGACTGACTTTAGTTATTAATCATAATAAGACACGAGCTTTGTTGCTTTTTTTTAAGGGGGGAAAATCATCGAATGACTGCTCCCAGTCTGGGTGAGGCGGGAGGGAGTGTCAGACTCTTACTGCCTAAAAATCACCCCGTTCCTTCTCCTGCACGTCCAGCCGGAGCCCCGGTAACCCGTTAGGTTCTCCGCGACAGCTTTGTTGCTTAAATTAATAAAATTATTAACCTTTTCGCCGCCAACAACTTCTATAGAAGTTCAGGATTTTCGTGCCGTCCACGCCACTACTTCTATAGAAGTTCATTGTATCTACCTACTATAAAAAATACATTTACGATACATAAAACATTTGTTTCTTTGTAATTTTGTAATATGGACACGACGAACTATTTTTTCTCATGCAAAACAGACTATTTTCTGTTTTAAAAAGGTAAAACATAAAAGGTTTCAAATAATTTTATATCCCGCACGCCAACGACTTCATATCAAGTAGGCCAGTGATGTGACGCGTAAGGAGCATTCATTAGAATCTTTATTTACTATAATATTTGTTTTCTTTTCCATCCAATAGTTTTTTGAATTCTATGAATAAAAAGAAATTCCGGTCAGTAAATAACGTATTACAATGCGTTTCAAAATTAATGTACATCTACCTATCAAATCATTTCATTAAAATTAATTATTATGTACTGAGGGTTTTCGATATTGCTAGACCCATCTCTACGTAATGGCAAGATGTCGAGTGACACTAGCGCCGTCAACTTCAATAGAAGTAAACCTGTGACGTCGTAAGCGCTTAGGCGTCAAGGTCATTGTGTCATAGTTCCGGGCGACGCGTGCACGCACATTTTTCTTTCCCAGTGCAGTGCAAAATGACCGAATATGATTCGGATGAGTATATTCTATATTTGTTCGCCGACACAGCTAAAAGTTTGCGAAACCGAGAGCCGCAACGAATAGGTATTTTATGACTACCTAATATCCATCAAACGTGCCAGTTTTTCATTTGCATTAAATGAAAAATAAGCTATTAAAGTTTAGTACATCTGTATTAAAATAGTTACTTACCATCCATTTCCAAAACTACACATATGTTGCCACTTTTAATCACTACAAACAATGTTCCTGATCGTGACCTGACGTTAGATTTTAAATGTAAACTAAAACCAAAAGCAAACCAAACTCGATAGAAAGAAAGAAAAGCATAGACAACTATTCCTTACGAAATGTATCGTGCTTTGAACGCCAATGACTTGATATGAAGTAAACAGACTACGTTATGAAATGAATAGTGAAGTGGCTAATGTTACGAATTATTATTATTATCTCTAGCAACTCTATGCATGTATCTTCATCTCTGATAACGGATACCCATTTTTCTTAGTATAAATGTTCATAAAATAAAACAAATTACCATTATAACTTAACAGTTTGTATTTTTAATTGTAAATTTGAGTACCAATTTAAATTTACACATATTTTTTTTCATTATCGACATGATGTTACCGCCATCCCTACTTTCGTACTATACATTTATTATACATTTATACGTTGGCGTACGGCGACACATCGTGTTTAGTATAGCTGGGCGGCGAAAAGGTTAATAATTATAAAGCTTCAGATTTCCTTTGTCCTAGAAGAGGTTAAACTGTGGTGTCTGCCATTGACATCGAATCATTTACATGAATTAAACTAATACATAGAAGGCCCTCTTGAACGTCCAAAAAATAACGAATAACTTACATTCATTTGCTCCCAGATATATTCTTTAACCTGTTGAAATATCATCCCCTAAATTTATTCACACAAAAGGAGTCTCTAAACATCGGATATAAGGTCTATAATGTAGTTAGTGTCGAGCGGTCCCCGGTGACCGCTTGGGGATAAATAATATTTTTATAATAACTATCGTAAGACACTAAATTAACTAACATCGCGGGTTACTCACGTGAATATACTGAGAAAAGCTCTACTAGTCTCGAACCACAGAGGGGTTCTTCCTCATGAGCAGCGTGCGCGGTCGCGGCGATGTCGCGCAGCCTACTGGCTGTATGGCATGGTTCGAAACTACTAGCTTTTTTTGTATATTCACGTGAGTAATCCGCGATTTTTAGTCAATAAATAATATTGCTTAAAACTGCAACAATTTAAATAACAAGTCTCCTAATTATCACGCAATTTACATTACCACAGCCCTCTCCAATTACGTCTTAAATATTTATTTATCGTCCCTTTTTCACCCCCACTTATTCAAATAAATTGTTTTGCATTCGAGGGTTTGTGAAAAATTCTAGGTTTTCTCTTTATGTATTGAGATTGATTATTATCACTTCAAATAGACAAAGAAAATGGTTTTAAAGAAATTAAATGTAATAGGAAATATGTGTTAATATCTTCTTTTTTGTATCACTCAGGCAAACCTTCAAAAAAAAAGCGTATTCCCTTTTAAAAGGCCAGCAATGGATTTGCACTTTCTCTGGTGTTTCGGGTGTCCATGGACGGCGCTGGTCGCTTAACGTAGCGGCTACAGGCTGTAGTATTTGCTTTCTAGCAGCAGCACCAAAGAGTTGAACTTGCATTACGGGTCCTTTAAAACCTTGGGTTTCCTCCTTCCTTTAAACCTGTATGTACCACAAGCCCCAATAAACTTTTATGTTATAACCTACTTAGTAAATATGACAGCATACGCTTTCACCGAGCACTCTCAAAACTTTGCATCAGATTATCGTCAAGAAAATTGCAAGTTAATTTTGTATTTCATAAGTACCTAACATAACAGTTAAGGAGTAGCTTCATTGTCGTTGTAAAAGATGTAAAAACTTCAACGCGTAGAAATGTCGAATATAAAAGTTTTTAATTAGAGCCATGTACAACCATGTTAGTATGCAGGTAATAAAATAAATCTTGCTACAATACAGAGACGTGTACTATTGTTGTATTAAATTGTAATGAAAGCATATTTTCTTTAACCATTCGTGGACTCAGTAGCCAACCAATGGTGACTGTCTCTGTACTAAATATAACATGGCTGACTATACATACCGGTAAACGCAATGCAGTATGTCCATCTGAGCCGCGGAGAACCTAACGGGTTACCGGGGCTCCGGCTCGAAGTGCAGAAGGAAAGGGGTGGTTTTTAGTCAGTAAGAGTCTGACACTCCCTCCCGCGTCACAGGCGGGAGAAGCCATTCGATGATTTTCCCCCCTTAAAAAAAAAGTACGTCCACCCACAAGGTGGATAGTTGCTGGTAGGAATCGGAAAAGCCGCTGTAGGTTGTTGCCAACCTAAGTGGTTTTTAGTCAGTAAGAGTCTGACATTCCCTCCCGCCTCACTCTGGCGAGAGAAGTCATTCGATGATTTTCCCCTCTTAAAATTATAAAAAAAAGATTGCCAACCAGTCGACCGATTAAGGTAGGCCTATGTTTAGCAATGGACTTCTTTGTAGCTGTTATTATGATGATAATGAAAAAAAAAATCTTCTTCATGATACCGAAGATTACATAATTATACCTACGAATATGTTCTTCTAAAATTACCTTTTACAATCTTATCTTCACACACAAGGCACTTAACTTTCTTATTCGTTCAAAAATTGAGTCGACTAAGTATTTTTATGCAAGAATACTGTCGTAACTTTTCGAAGGGACGCCGTTGCTATGGTAACGGTAATTCCCGAATAATCCCCTTTATTTTAGCTTTCATCCCCTCGCCTTACTCCTGCGTATTATCCGTCAGCCCTTGTCAGGGGTGCCTGTCACACCGTAGCGAGTAATCGACTGGGAAATTTTACGACAAACATTGTTATTTTTGAGTTGAGTTGAAATTGTGGAGGGACTTTTATATTTAGTGGGTAGTTGAATTAATGTAAAAGGACATAATATATGTTCAGTATTCATTGAAGAACCCAAATCAATAAATGATCAATTCATTTTAATAGCAAATTAAAACAAAATAGCTAATTATTTATTACACATGTTCAATGTACATTTTGTTGTACAAATATCGTAATCAAATAAACAAAAACCAATTAAGTTGCAAAGTATTTGTTGAATAAATATTAGTTGGACACATTTAACGCTCAGTGCACCGATAAGTGCTCATTAAAAGTGTCATAATGACACTGATAGTGACCATTTCGGTAATTAATTTACCAAACAATGTTACTGATAAACTGGTGTAAAAAATAATTACGAAATTACTCAGCTTTCATAATTACCGCGATAACCTTTAACTTTTCTAACTTTTAAGTGTTTGACGAAAGGTTTATTTACGATGTGTTTTTGTTTGTTCCAGTTTCCCGTTTTGGTCACTCCTATGGAGATGAATAGGTAAGGATATGTCTTCTAATACTTCTTTAAATGCTGAGTCATGTCATGATTTACATAAAGAATATCATCTTCATTTCCACAAATTGTGATCTTCTACTTCTGGATTATGGGCTTACAACATAAAAGGGGTTTATTTTATAATCTCCACACTTGTCAAAGCGGTTAGACATCGCAGTTTAAAAGATTTTGAGTTATGATAATGATTGGAATCGGATCCTGCGACTCCGGTGAGAGTAATTGAGGTAAAAAAATTTATTATTCTATGCCATCACCATGTGATTTACAGCTTCAAATAATTAGTATTTTTTTTTATTTAAGCTTCATGCACAAAGTGTATATAAGGTGGACTTAATGCCGCAGGCATTTTCTGCAAGTCAGACCTTTGGGTGATGCAGAGAAGAATTAATGGTAGAAGTAAGAAGCAAGGGACGATTTAATTGAGCAAATAGAGGATTTGTAATTAGAGTAAAAATATTATATTCAATTTCAAAAACTTCGGTGTAAACGCAACCCTATCTAAGTCTGACACAAGAATTCGTCTATAGAAATGCCCCTTATATTACCGTCAAACGCACCCCTAGTTACAACACACTGCATTTCGTACCCACCCCCCAACAAAATGCAGTTTAGCGTGATGATAATTTCGATCCGATATTTCGGTATTATTACGGTGTATAGTTTGGGAAGGAACAGCTGTTGTTGTAGGTAAACTTGTTTAAATTTGTGTTTCTGTTGTAGTATAACAGTTTTAACCTTATTTATTACCATATACCAAGCAATGCAATTAGGAATTTGAATTATTAGATTACCTACATAGGTTCTTCATATTATTATTGGAACTACTTTCTACAGACTGGAAATGTAATAGACACAAAAAAATATCACGGTCAATACTTTCATTATTTAATTAAACTGTCAAACACCAAGCGGTCACCGGTGACCGCAACCTATTGTTCTATAATTGTGTCTACAATGACGGTACTCGACGAGTTAATCCTTACTAATATTATAAATCGGAAAATGAGTTTGTTTGTTTGTTCTGTTTTCACGCCGTAACTACTAAACCGATTGCTTTGAATTTTTGCAGACGCAAGTTAAAGTCTGGATTAAATAATAGGGTACTTTTTACATCGGAAAAATTTGATATTCTAGAGGGAAATCGAAATTATTGGTATAGATGGCGCTGTGTGTATTGGTATAATATGTCACATAGGCTACTTTTTATCCTTTTGTGACGCAAGCGAAGCCGCGGGTAAAAGCTAGTTAAGTATAATTGTACCCTTAACCGACCAGCGCGCATTAAAAGGCTGATGGACTATCGATGAAGCGGAAGAAGTATGTAAGAATCATAGCAATCGGCGTTCTATAGTCTCTACCTAACCCCATGGGAGACAGGCATGAAGTTAGTAATAGTATGTATGTATTATTGCGTTTTTCGAAATGCGAAATTAATGGTATTAGCAAACAGTTTAAATTATGCTTGAAATATGTCAATATTCGTGTAACGTTTAGTATTTATTTTATAGCCTATGTAATGGCAATTCTATTTCAATTTTACCATTTCAAAAATGCGTACATGGGGATTAATAAAAATACATGTTTTAACTTTGACAGCGTACCGTTATATTTACGAGAACGAAGTAAAAACAGGATTTTAATAATCCTGTGATGTGCCAGTTAAACCCTACTTTAATAATATTAACAAAATGAGACTGTAATTTTAACCACGGGATCGTATGAATCAATATATGTATCGTGTAAAATTATAATTTATTGTTCGGTAGCCTGTCTGAGTGATAAATTAGTTTTAATTTAATATTGGCTTTCAATTGCTACTGAAAACACAATGTTATTCTCTTGTTTGATGTTATGTAACTTCACGCTTGTCCTTTGTTAAAGGTGTGGGCTAATTTAATAACACCTTATATGACAGGTCAGTGAGAATTCTCTAATTATGATAATTTGCCATTTGATCTCCTCGGTTGGTATGCGGGTTGAAGATCGCATTTAAAAGGGTTTGGTTTATCAGAGAGCTTCTACTTGGTCTCTGTGTAGTTTCTATAACAATACCCGTAGTAAAAGTAAAATTTATGTGTTATGTGTAGGTAATCATTAATTAGAAAATATAAGTTAAATAAATTAGATGTTGGGCTAGTTCAAAACATTTTAGCAAATCCTAAAACAAATATTGCCAAAGGGTTGTGTAACCTAGTAAAGGTTATATAACTTTTCTGATATCTAGACCTTGTTAATGATTCCCTTTCATTAACATAGGTATACTTAATGAAATAAGGTACGATGGAGTTGACGTATCCATATGGACAAAAGCTCCCTAAAAATAATAAAGAATAAATAAAATGTCAAATGTAAACATTTAAAACATAATCTCGTTGTTCCTAGAACTATTTAAGTAGATACACAGCACAAACACGATATAATAACAAAACACTGAAAGCCTACTTAAAAAGTTGCAGTGTAGCTTTACAGAAGGTTGTTAGTCGAACGAATTACGGGTAACTGAAAACTAAACATGTTGCGGTAACTAGTTCACTAAGAGTTATGTTGTGTTTCCTCGTGTGAGTAAAGTTACCGGAGGCCCAATCACCCCTCCCCCCAATCCCTAACAATCCTCAAATTCATAACCCCCAAAATATTGGCAACGCAATTGTAACGAATCTGGTGTTTCGTTTGTCCAAGGGCGGCGCCGATTGCTTACCATCAGGTGATTTGTCTGTTCGGCTTATCCCAAAAAACGTAGTGAACGTAGTGATGATAAACAGGGATACTTTTGCTATGATCGGTATAAAACTATTGATTAATGATTATTTGTTTGTAGTTCTGGATACAAATGAGAGTGACTAAAATGATACTTGTTTTTTTTTATATTATACATTTTATAGGTCGACGTTTGTACACCATCTTGTTTTATAGGACTTGAACTTTATGTCTGTCAAACGAGCGTATCTTAGAATCGGGTGTTTATTGAAATTGAGTATGTTTCCGACAAGTAATCAACTAAACTTACTATTTCAAGTTATTTTTGGAATTGCTAGTACGTTTATCATTATTAATTTATATGTTTAGCACGGATTTAAACAAGATGCCGGATGCCGGTTTAACTCACTCTTAATAAAAAGAAATAAGTTTAGTATGTATAGCTATATAGTTTAGAAAATTCCAAACCCACCAGTCAATAGGATAGTAGACAGTATATAAAAATTAAAATTGTAATTAGTCCGTCAGTTAGATAATGAAAAAATATTAGACACATATTTTTTTATTCTGTCGTATAAGAAAATCAAAGAAAAAGTTACGTTACGCTTATAAAATGTAGTAAATCTTGACGTCACACGATATTTCAAATCAGTATATCTTCGAAAGTATGTAATTTTGTAAGAAAATAATGTTTTGAAATGATCTATCACACGGTCATTAAAATAATATTTAGTCTACTACCCTATTCATTCCACGCACGCCCTTATTACGACTGGAGTACCTGATTCGCCTTAAACTTCAGAATAAATAAATCTTAAACTAATAACATAAACCACTTAAAACTATTTAAATACTCCATCAGCTATGCTTAATATACTCCTGTCTAATTACTGTGGAATTATCAGTCCAATACATTAACCTCTGGTTATTTTTGGACGAACGTGTTCTAAGCTCGCTTAGTGTCAAATACCTCTGTTACATAAATAGATGGAACTAGGGTCGGTAACTAGTCTTACCTGCCTGTTATTATTGATAGAATACACACTGAAATTTATTTCGTTTTCGTCCCGCGGCGAAACGACTTGTCAGAAGGAGTACTTTTTTTATGGCAGCTGGTAAACGAGCAGACGGAGCACCTGATGGTAAGCAATCGGCGTCGCCCATGGACACCTGGAACACCAGAGGCGTTACAAGTGCGTAACCGGCTTTTTGGGGATTAAAAGTTGATTCAGGGATTGGGGTGATTGGGGAAGGGGAGGGTAATTGGGCCTCCGGTAACCTCACTCACACGATGAAACACAACGCAAGCGCTGCTTCACGTCGGTTTTCTGTGAGGCCGTGGTATCACTCCGGTCGAGCCGGCCCATTCGTGCCGAAGCATGGCTCTCCCACACTTAAAAAGATGATCTCGATGTATAAAGTAAAAACAAAAATATTAAGATGCCATTTTTTTAAGTTTTCGAAATACGCACATGAAACACTAGACGTAAATTTGTAGGCACTATCCGTATCGCCCGTTTACACTAGACGAGAAATACCTCTTCGAGAATGACATGGCGTGATGTTTTGATAATGTACTATGAGTGCTCTTTCGAGGTTTGATTTTTGCAATGGTTCACTAGTTATTTTTTGTGTTAAACATTTAACCAATAGAGAACCATTTAAACATTGTATGTAGTGTAATTTCTACCTAGATTACAATTACGTCCACTACTACTACATTGACACCTACTACAAACTATTGATAGTACAATACATGTACATGTTTCACACAAATATTTATGTACGTACCTACTATTATAAAACAATTTCATCATCTTATTTATTTATTTATGTACACACAGAATAGACAGTACAAATCATATATCCGATATATTAAATTTTGTAATTTAACTTAACACTTTTACTAAATTCAAACTTAGTCCTTAAATTAGAATACGTTAGTAATGTTTGTATTTGTATTTGTATTTATAGAAATTAACTATGTACGTCTTGTTGTCAAAGAGCGGAGTTTCCTAACACAGACATATCTTGCTTAAAAGGAGGCTCCAATCACAATTTATAGGTTCCGTAATCTGTTTTTACAAATAAACGATTTTTATTATTTTATTATTATTATTACTAAATCCTTTGGTAAATAAAAATAATCGTATTAATAGCTACACTAATAATAAATTCACATTTCTAATCTCTACGCTCACACACACTTAGAACTTATTTTATCAAAGTAAACGCAACTAATAGAGATATGAAGCAAGCAAGGGCTATCAGAACCCAAATAGTAT